AAAATATGATAAAACCCCTAAGTGAAGGTCATAAAAAATGACGATTTTGAAGGAGTCATAGTTTGTAAGTGTACCATCTTCATAAATTCATTTCAATATTTTTAAACCACCAGTACCTCGGCCAGCCAAAAAAAAAAGTCGCGACCGTTAACGCGCCGCGACTTTAGGGGGTTCGGGGCAGATTTGGTAGTGCGATGGAGTAGAAGCTGTCGGGCCCAAGGAAAAAGGGCGAATGAACTGTAGGACTGTAGGCGATTTTATTTTCACATGCACGCACACAGTACAACCAAGAGAATAGAGAGGGAAAAAAAATGGAAACAAGGGAAAAAAAAAAGAAGTACCCACCACTTGGCAGACAACAAAACGACCCTCATGTGGTGGTTACGGACCATGTTCCACGACTCTGCAAATATGCAAAACAACAGGACTGAATTCTCCATTGGAATATGGATAGATACATGCCTCTGCACACGTGGAGAGTACAACCCGACGAATCCTTTTTCTTTGGCCTTGGGCCTTGGCTCCACTCGTCTCCACATGCACAAAAGACAGAACGAAAAGGGGATGTATCTTTTCATATTGTAGAGGAGGATTCTGTCTCATTGTGCACATTTGCTTAGCCCTTTAGTGCTTGGAAAATGAGACTGAATCTTCCGCTACAACAAGGCAAGATACATTGCCATATTTGTTGGAGAGTGGTGAAGCAACGCCAACACTTCACAATTTTCCTTTTCTTAGTTTTTTTTCTTATCTTAGGAAGAATTATTGTCACCTTTCTGACATGACTCCCCGTGAGAGATGGAGAGCAGCCAACTGAAAACTGTCGTGTTGTTGTTGTTGTTTTTTTTTTTTTTTTTTTTTTTTTTTTTTTTTCTTTTTTTTCTCTTTCCATTTTTTCTCTCTTTTTTCTCTTTCATTTTCTCTTTTTTTTTTTTTTTTTTTTTTTTTTTTTTTTTTTTTTTTTTTTTCCATTTCACGGCTTACAGAAGTGCTCTTTCTTTTCTTTTGTTTTTAGGCGGACTGCTCTCTCCAGAATGTATCTGACTGCACTTGTGGCCACGCCCAGGGTGCTGCACGAGAAGAAACGACGGGCGGTACCAATGCCAGTCCACAATGTATCCCAAGTTGGTTCCTTCCCCCTCCAGGCTCGACAACCCTTGGCGCGCAGGTAAAAATGAGGGTAGGGCCTTAAGAACCGGTAGGTACTGGTGGTTTGAGTGAAAGCTACATGAAAAACATGAAACAACCAATCATAGGTCATAAGGCAATGTCAATTTCATTGACAAAGGGAAATTTTGGGGGGACCGCCGAACCGATCCTTCAAGATATTGTGAACTACCTACAACTAGCTCTTCTAGAACCGGGATTTTTGGAAAAAGGAAGGATCGGTCCTCGGATGGAAGCGGACCCAAAAAAGAAAAGGGGAGGCGTTGTCTGCAGTCTACTTCGCAGCCTTTGCAACGCGCGAACACGAGGAAATGAAGAAAGAGGCAGAATCCTTGAGGCGAATTTCGAAAGTAGTAGGTAGGTAGCTAGCGGTTTGGCGTCTCACGTGTCTTCGCCAACGGCGGGAAGTCTGTTGGACACGCACGCACATACAGACATACTTGCGCGCACACACACACACACACACACACACACACATAGACAAACACACACATGTACGTTTTCGTGGGTGACGCTTGTCAACACACATTTGGCAAAGCTACACACAGACACTGTGTGTAGCTTACACCAACAGCCTCACCCCTCCTCGCTTGAAGAATCTGAAACGCACAACACAACTCACATATTGAAAGTTCGAAGAACTCTTTCTCTGTCTCCTTCCTACATGTCAAATGACCCTAAGTGAAGGTCATATCAAATAAATACTTCTTCTATAAGATGTCATATGAAATTACGATGCAGACCCTAAGTGAACACCATAAGAAATTGTGATTTTGAAAGATGACACATGATGATTTAAAATGGCCATAAGTAAAGATCGTATGAAATGACACCTTCAGAAGTGAAGGCCATAAGAAATGACGAAGATGCCATATGCAACTACGATAAAAGCCCTAATTGAAGACCATAAGAAATGGTGATTTTGAAAGAGGGAACATGATGATTTCAAATGGCCGTAAGTAAAGATCATATGAAATGACACCTTCATATACAAATGTCATGTGAAACTATTATAAACGCCCTAAGTGAAGGCCATACGAAATGACGACTCTGAAGGGGTCCACGTTTAGGATAAATCTACCAACTTCATAAAATCATTTGAACGACTCTAAATAAAAGCCAAGAGATTGACTTACCGTGAGGGCACGGGTGCGCAGCCCGTGGTTTGTTTGTTGATGTTGTGTGTGTGTGTGTGTGTGTGTATGTGTGTGTGTGTGTGTGTATGTGCTGTCTCTTATACACATCTAGATGTGTATAAGAGACAGGGTCGGCATCGATGCAACCATGCCCTAAACCCTAAACCCTAGCATGCTTCTTGATGTTCTTTCTCCAGGATACCGCTGTTGTGCTGAACCTGCTGCTTCATCTTCCTGAGCTTGTTTCTTTGTCTGTCGAGCTGTTGCCCTTCCGCGCTTCTCCTCCTCGTTTCCGTTTTCTTGTTGCCTTTACCTCTGCTCGTCTGCCATTGGCACTGGTGCGTGTCTTCCCCTTCTCTTCTACCCCTTTTCCGCACAGACTTTTTTCCAGTTTTCCGTACTGCTTCCTTTTCAGTAGTGTAGCTCGTCTCTGATTCGAGAGCCTGCTGCCCCTGTCTCTCAGCTATCTTCTTACGATGATGCATGCCATGAATATATTGAGTCGGGACGGTTTACTTGTTTTTTCTGTAAAAAAGCATGGTAACCGCCCGGACGTCCGGACCGGGTTCCAGAGTCCGGTGTCCGGTGTCCGGTCCCCATGTCCGGATGGAGGCCCCTGGGGCAAAAATCAAAAAAAAAAAATGGGGCGGCCCAGGACGTTTGTCGGGTCCTAGCCGCCCCTCAAAAAATAACGGGGTGATTTTTAAGTGTCTTTTCACCCCACCGGACATGGCCTAGAGGTCCAGACACAAGACACTGCAGGTTTTTGAGGTGGCGGGTTTCGCNAGAAAAAAAAAAAAAAAAAAAAAATCAAGCGAGGCGCCACTTTGTCAAAACGCCTCGATCGGTAAGGCACCACGCTCCTTGCGCACACAGGGAGACTATCACTTTGTGAACGCAAAGGGAGAGCGGCCGCCGCTGCTTTTGGCCTGTTTCGATTTCGACCACGACAGACTTCGAATTCAAACCACTACTCTACCTGACGTTGGAAATTCGGGGGACCGGTAGCACATGTCCATGAGGGCTACCGGTAGCACAGAGTGGAGAACCGGGAGAGTGGTAAATATGTAAAATGGGATGAATTTGCGCTATAAGCTATTTCGCAGTTGAGATAATTTTATTAATTTTTTTAAACATTTGTCCTGAAAAGATCATGACCAAATCTACGGACCCTCAAATGTTCAGACTTGCTTACGAGTTCTTTTGAGCGTGAAAAAGCTTTGAAATAGGGGTACTTTTCCCGTTGGCCCACAAGTTGTCGTGTGCCAAAATGAAAAAAGTGACGAATTGGCGCGATATTTATTTCATGGTCTAAACGATTTTATTTTATTTTTTGATATTTTTCCTGGAAAGATCACGACCTGGCCTACCCGATATCAAATTTTCAGATCTTTTCTCCAATTATTCTGCGTACGAAAAATCGCCAAAGTTGGCACTCGAAAATTGCAAGATTGGACCCGCCTGCGCCTTCCAGTCGGCGCCCCCCCTAAAAACCCGTCGTAACTCACCACAGGGCCTGCGTCCACGCCGTTTCAGATTCGAAATTTCAAGGCCCTAATGCCACGGGCAGCTACCGGTCCTGCACTTCCTTGAACTGCCTATTTCCCACGAATTGGACCCCCAGCAAATACACCACCCTTCCAACTACCGCACCGTTTGGTGACGACGACGAAAAATGTTCAATGTCTCAATGTCTGAGGGGCATAAAACGCAACCATGACGGGCTACGAACATATTCTACGTCGTTCAAGATATTGCAAACGACCTAGATCGCGAGTGGAAGCGGACCCGAAAAAGAAGTGAGGGGGGGAGGCATCCCGCAATTTGCAAGAGCCAACTTTGAAAAAGTACTCTCTCTCTCTCTCTCTCTCTCTCTCTCTCTCTCTCTCTCTCTCTCTCTTGTGGGCGCACTTAGTCTCATTGCTTTGGCTACCTTAGGGCTGCGTTACTCGCGCCCATGAGGTAGACGATATTTCGAGGTCTGTACGCCTGGCCTGTAGCATATGCCACAGGTGCCCCACCAAGTGCGGCTATTCTCAAACCCACACCCTCACCCTGTTGAGCACCAGTCTGTTATCCAACATTGTAGCTTCGGGTGTGGGTTTAACTTTTTGCCTGCTACACTCTGGTGCGCTGTATTGCATTGCTATTCTGCTTATTCACCATCACCATTATGGCAGGGTGCAGGTTTGAATCCTCGGACCACTGATATATTGTGGTTATCGATGTTCTGCGCAGAGCTTAGGGCCCTTCGCACACTCGAACGGGTCTTTTCGTGTTCTGGTCTCGACAAGAATGCCGAATCCGGTGTAGCAGTACTCTCTTTTCTCCCGCCGTGCTGAATAGTGCTTGTCCGCCGTGCAGCCATGTTGAGGGCCCGGGGCTATTGAAACTCGCCGAACGGTACCCGCCGGCTTATCTGTCAGGTCAATCGTCGTTACTCGTCAATAGCAATATAGCCAAGGGAAGTGCACGAGGAAGAGTGCCGCGGCTATTGCACTGTAGTAGTGGTTGGCGGTGAAACACGTGGGAGGCGCAGGCGAGTCGCAAAGGGGCTTTTTTTTTTTTTTTTTTTTTTTTTTTTTTTTTTTTTTTTTTCCCAAAAGGGGGTTTCGGTCGCGGTGGAAATTACTTCCATTGCACGTAGGAGATGATTCGCTGAGTGATTGGACGTGGCGGCGCGCAGCTCTGCTGCCCGCTTACAGAATGCCGGGGAGGCTTCGAGGCTGTTAGACAGCGGAGGAAGTTTGGCGTCCGCATAGAGCGTGAGAAGGAGGTGATTTTTGGAGAGAGAGTGAGGGAGGAGGGAGGTCGATGTCGAGAGAATGGAGAAGGGAGAGTTGAGTCGAGTGTCGGGACAAGTGTATCAGGTGTGAGTGATAGCTTGTGGCGAGAGACTGTCATAACGGGCTGGCTACCGTTGTGGAAAACGTGGCACAATCCGTTATCAGGACGGAAGACGTGGCCGCCTCCTGTTCAAGTAGAGGAGCTGTCAGCCTCGCCGCCCAAACCATCTCTCTCTCTCTCTCTCTCTCTCTCTCTGTGTCTCTTTCTTTTCTCTCTGTGGCGCGTGGTTGTGCTTTCGTTGAATCTCTCTTCCCTCTCCCTGTCCCTTCGCGGTGTAGTAGAGTTTCCCGCGTTTTTTTTCCTGGGATTTGAAAATGGAAGACGAGCATGATGTGTATGGAGGGGAGATCCCCGATGAGGTGGATGGAATGGATGCTGAGATGGACAGTCAGCACGCAACCGAAGCAGACAGGAACATGGCGGCGGAGCGATCAAGCGATGATCCGGCGGCGCAGGTGGGTTCTTCCTTCTTTCCTTCAATCACCAACTTTTGTCCTTTCTCTTGTAGTACTACTTGTCTATATGGTTGTACATATTTATATGTAATTCTGTAGGGGACCCTGCAGACTGTAGAGGGTTTAGCCTTCTGGTGGATCCGTGAAACTCTGACGAAACAGTCTGTCACAGCCCGTCGTTTATTATCCTCTTCTCCCTCCTCACACAGACTTTCACCTGTCAGTTCTCTACGACGATATATTAGTGCTGAATATGCTTTGTGTCATTCTGTGAGTCTGTCTGCTGCCTTCGTCAATAATAACTGCATCGTTTGTGTGTGTGTGTGTGTGTGTGTGTGTGTG